AACTGTTTGGTTTTATTTAGTGTTAGTTTTTGCTTGTTTTTCTGAAATATTCCCGAACCAAGTATTTTAGGAATGACTAAGTCTTTGTTTCCTTTATTCAGAAGTTGGAGACAAGCTTTTGGTGTTATAATGAGACAAAGTGCTCTAGGTTTTGGAGACTGTTGGAAAAAAACTCCGGGAAACGGTGGGAAAAACTCGGGGCTTAAAGAGTTAAGACCATTTTGAATAATTAAGCCCGTGAGTTCAAAATGCAAATGTTCAGTTTGTTCTATCAAAAATTTGTAAGAATATTCGGAGTAGCTGTCAAGATATTCAAAGAAGTGTATTCGAAAAAACGTTACATGTTGCGAAACTAAAAAATTTGACGTCAAATTTCTCAAAACTAGGTACGGAGCAGATAAAACTTTGTAGTTCTGAGGAAGCGACATAACAATGTCTTCTGTTGTATGTCAAATTATACCGGTGCCTGGGGTGCTCTCGTGGCCTAGTGCTTAAGGTGTTGGCCTCTCATTCAAAGGTCCCAGGTCCGAATCCGGGTAGTGACCGAAAAAATTTCTTCTCTAAATTTGTCTCTTTTCACCTCCTTTCCTGCTCTCTAGCTATGTTCTGTCGTCTGCTTTTGTCTCCTCTTTCTGCCTCCACTCCCTCACCTCCTTTGCCCCCTCCTCTGGGCTCCTGACTCTTTCTTCAGCCTTTCTACTGCTACTCCTTGGCTTCTTCTTACTTCTGTCTTTCCGCCACACCCCTGATCTTCTGGTAGGAAAGATCTATACCTAGCCTTCTCGGACAAGGGCGAAAAATCACGGAGGGCCCGTGTGCAAGTTGTGTAGGTTAAAGATCCCTTGGTGGTCTAAAATCGTTAAGAGTAGGCTTCGGCCACCACCCGGGCAAAATTCAAAATTTCCTACCAACAGAAAAAGTTTAATGTGTCCCGCGCACTCATATGACCTTAAGCAGTTGCAAACGCCGTAATACACTTACAACCAAGAAACATTTTTTAAAATACCAGTGCCTGTGGTAGAGTGGATAGGTGCTTCGCTGTGACGTGCAAAAGACTTGAGGTTGATTAAATCTTTTGATTCATTCAATCAAATGTCAGCTGAAGTCGTTTCTGTTTATACAAATTAATAAGATTAATATTTGGAGGGATTTTCTTTAGTCAGAACACAACGTTTTATGTTACTGTTTGTACGTTGTGTTGTATTGTAAAGCGCTCAGAGCCTGTAGGCCTACTTTAATCGGGGTTGAGCGCTATAGAAATGTCATTCATTATTATTAGTAGTATAATATGGGGAAAATATTTGTCTTTTGTCTTGGTTTTCTGCTGAGAAATTGTTTTCCCCTCAGACCGTCTCTCAAATAATCTAAATTCAGCCAACAGGCGGTGTAGAAATGCCTATATTTAGAAATGAAAATGAATATTTTTCGCCCTTTTTGTGGGGCTCCCGTGGTGCAGAAGTATATTATGGAGCTTGCCTCTCGTTCAATAGGTCCCAGATTGGAATCCTGACAGCAATGGAAAAATTTTCTTCTAAAATATTTTCTTTCTTTCACCTTCTTTCATGTTCTGTAGGTATGTTCTGTCATCTGTTTTCATCTCCATACTTTCTTTCTACCCCC